TTTAGAAATGTATATTTTGGGTAATTTAAAATGGTTGAAATTTAACATTTTACATGTTTACAAAAACAATAGTTTAATCATATATTCGTATAGATTTATATATATCCACCACATTTCATCTTCTACTTGTTTATTTATTATGGGTTACAATTTGATTTTATTACCAATAAACTGTTGACATAAATAAACAAGTGAAACAATTTTAAGTTCGGCTGGGCCCAAATTTGGATAACCTCCACGATAGATATACTGACAGTTTTTTCAAATGAAAACATAGGGAACATACGAAAAATTATACCAATACCCACACAAAATACAAATTTCAACAATTTTTAATGGAGACTTTTCCCAAAAGCCCAAAAAGTTGACGACGCATGGTTGGATGGAACATGTGTATAAAATCTCCAACAGGCATTTGCAGGACACACGTATATGATGCCATAACCAATGTACACAGGTTTAATTTCGGGGGGCTTGGTGGAAGCTGCTGGTTCCATACAAAAATGTCATTGCAGAAAAATAAAATTGTATGCGTACGTTTCTGGAGGCTATATATAAAGCGGGACCAATATTGATTACATCGTGTAGGATGTACCAAACATTTGTAGTTCCCATTACATGAGGTGCCATGCCTAATTGAGAACAGATATAGCTCACATTCGAACCTATCATTTTTGCATCACAATACCTTCCTTAACGTAGAATGAGTCTTAGAACCAAACTCAAAATGTGGAATAAATCACATAACTATTTTAATATTCAAAGGGGAGTAATATCAGGACTATCCCTAAAACGGTTCGAATATTAACAATTTTATTATATACGACTAGAAAAAAAAAAACACAAAGGCGAAAACGGTTGAAAAATGCACTGAAGAACCCCAAAATATCGAAAATTGGGGAAACCCTTAATGGGGGCTAGTCGAAAAAATGGACCTATATTTATAATTTTTATTATAATTTGACTATAATTTGGTATTTTTTCCACCAAAAATATACCAAATTATAGTCAATTCGGTCGCAACTGATATTAAAACCCCCAAAAGACTGAAAATTTGGGGGTGTATGGGACCTACCTATATTTATACTTTTTAGAGGATAAATTTAGAACACAATTCGGTTGGGAGCTGTGTCGTCATAGATCCAGAATATATATATATATATATATATATTTTGTACGGTCGGAAATGATTATTTCGATAAATTACAAACGGAAAAACAAACTTAATATATACTCCCTACTATGGTGGGGGGCATAAAAAATAGTGAAATATATAACAAATTGTAAATATGTGTATTTTCTTGTTGTTAATCCTAAGCCGATTATTCATCATAAATCAACTGACAAAAATTCCTTCATAAATACAATTACTTTAAAAAAATATGCCCAAAAATTATTTCCATTTTAACAAAGTTCCACGTTTATTATTTCATTACAGTTTTGCGTATTTACGGATTATTTTCTCAAGTCTTATCAATGCCGGGAACAGACAGAATTTGCTGAATTCCTCAAACGATCAGCAAGCGCACCATCATCGTTGGCATCACAACAATCGAAAAGCAAAATAAATAGTAAACCACATAAAGCTGTCATTTCTATTGTTTAACGCTGTTTTGGTTCTTGTTGTTGTTGTTATTCCTACAAAGATGATAAATCAGAGTGACTGACGGCCAAACATCTGAAACAGCTAAAACAAAATAAACCCCCGAACCAACCAATAATAGTGATGAGGCAAATGGAAAAATAATCTAGTTGGAGGCCAGTAAATAAACAAAAGAAAAATACCCAACAACAATAGGAAAATAACAGAAAAAATATCATTACTAGCTAAGTAGTAATGCAAACCTAGACTTGGCTATTTATGATTATGAAGGCTATTCTTTAGAGTGAGGACATGAAATAATCTACAAAAAAAATCGGAATTTTATAACATCTACAATAGGAAGGAGAAAAGTCAGCTCTCTGTCAACACACATATTTACATATAGAGGCCTTTAAATAACAACGGCATACTCGCCATACAAAGAATATGTTGGTATTGAAGGATAAAAGAAGCATTTCATAGAAATAATCCGTTTCAGGCGAAACTAAAATCCATCCACATCCACCGTATAGAAAGAACAATACACGCCCCATATCAAAACGCCAAACGCCATTATACCCTTTCGAAGTCATACCACCACCACTTATATCTGATTACACACAAACAGTGATAGGAAAATCATTCACTACTTATTCAACTGGTTGCATTTCAAAAACATCTTCAAGTTATCGCATCCCCAAACAAACACGCGCACGAACGTATCCGTTTGCCACGTTCTAGCCAACCCATACCTAACGTTCTCGTTCTCTTCATGCTTAACTACGCCAACAATACAACATCCATAGTTGTTGCTGCCAACATCAACAATCCCACCACAGCCATAACAAACATATCCGCAGTCGGCTCAGCCACCACTACCACCAGTCACACTCAACCTGCCAAAATGAAGATGTCAAAGTTATCTAACCAAACCAACTCCCAGGATCCACAGGCTGTTAATTCGCGTATCTTTGTGGGCAATTTGAATACGTTTCAGTGTTCCAAAACCGATGTGGAGCGTATGTTTCAGATTTATGGACGTCTTGCAGGTTAGTAGCCAAGGAACAAAGTTATGTGACGAATGATAGAGAAAAGAGAGAGAGAGAGAGAGTCAAGAGAATGGAATGCTATTTAAACGCCAATGTGGCTTAGCTAAGAAGAATTTAATTAAATTTCGGTTGTAATTCTTGACATTTTCTTATTTATTTTTTTGTTTCTTCTTTTTTCATGTTTTGTCGTCTCCTTATGCTCGATGTGTGTGTGTGTGCGTCTGTCTCGACAGGAATATCAATGCATAAAGGTTATGCATTTGTGCAATTTACAAATCCTTTTGATGCTCGCAATGCCTGCCTTGGTGAAGATGGCAAAATGGTCTTAAGCCAGACATTGGGTAAGTTGAAGTATTATTATTTTTTTTTTTAATTTTTCCTATAAAGAGTAAAGAGATTTTGAGTATTTAAATTTAATATGAAAATAAAATTATATTATATTTGGTTAGAAAAAAAGATACTTGAACACAGACAAAATTGTAGTTAATTTATATGTTTCTGTAAAATCGAACGAATACAGTAGAATAGTTTACCATCATGTAAAATCTCTGTGTGATATTTTGAAGATAACAGTTTCGTGTTAGTAGACAATATTTATTCTGAACGTGCATCTTAAAAATAAAAAAAGAAGGGAAAATAGTAAAGTCGGACTGGGCCGACTATATGATACCCTTCACCACTTTGGGTATATTCTACGTATCCTAAAAGACGTCACCTTTTCGCTGGAACATTGACATGGAATCGAACGAACGAACGAACTGAATTTGTGATCTTTATCTATATCTAAACCGGCTAACATCAACCTATGCACTGTTTAAAATTTAATCTCAATCAGACACCCATTGATTATTTGGTGTACAATTAACATGAATAAATCAAATTGGAAGCTATGCTATATCTACATCTGAACCGATTTCAAGGAAACTTGCCAGCTATTAATTTATATTAACATCTGTACGTTGTGTCAGTCGGCTTAGGTATGGATCTTTAGTGCACTATTTACTTAAAATCGGACGAAAATATATGTAGCAGGTGTACGTAAACCTGAACCGATTTTCACGAAATTTTGCACACATCATTCTATACTTAATTCAGAACGATATACCAAAATCGAAAGATATATGGGGACTTTGGGGCACCATTTAACTTAAATCGGACGAATCTATATACGGGAGCTATATCTAAATCTGGACTGATTTTCACGAAACTTGGCACACATCATTCTAGACTCAATTCAGTACTCTATGCCAAATTTCGTGCAAATCGAAAGATATATAGGGTGCACCATAACTTTGATGCACCATTTAACTTAAATCGGACGAAATTATATATGGTAGCTATATCTAAATCTGAACCGATTTTCTCGAAACTTAGTACACATCATTCTGCATTAAATGCAGTACTCTATGCCAAATTTCATGCCAATCGAATGATATATGGGGACTTTGGTGCACCATTTACCTAAAATCGGAGCTATATCTAAATCTGAACCAATTTTCTCGAAACTTGGCACTCATCATTCTGGACCTAATTCAGTACTCTGTGCCACACATCATTCTGTTAATTCAGTACTCTATGCCAAATTTCGTTCAAATCGAATAATATATAGGGACTTTGGTGCACCATTAACCTTAAATCGGACGAAACTATATATGGGAGCTATATCTAAATCTGAACCGATTTTCTCGAAACTTGGCACACATCATTCTGCATTAAATTCAGTACTCTATGCCAAATTTCATGCATCGAATGACCTATAGGGACTTTGGTGCACAATTTACCTTAAATCGGACGAATCTGTATATGGGAGCTATATCTAAATCTGAACCGATTTTCTCGAAATTTGGCACACATCATTCTGGACCTAATTCAGTACTCTGTGCCAATTTTCGTGCAAATCGAAAGATATATAGAGACTGGTGGCTCATTTACCTTAAATCGGAGGAAAGTATATCGTTAGCTAAAATGCAAAAAGGCGTAACTAACAAAAAAATTGAAATTTTACTTTTTGAATGTCAACACATGTATTTCATTGACATTCACAATATTCATTCAAAAAGTCAATTTTCAATTTTTTGTTAGTTACGCCTTTTTGCATTTTAGCTGACGATATATGGGAGCTATATCGAAATCTCATCCGACTTTTCCCAATCTCAATAGGGCCAATTAAGTGACTTGTGCCAAATTTCATCCAAATCGGATCATAAATGCGACCTGTACTTTGTTTACAATTTAACATCTACAGACGGACGGATGGACATGCATAAATCGACTCTGAAAGTGATTCTATGCATATTCTCAAAAGGAACCATGTGTCTATCTCGTTTCCTTTTGCCTGTTACAAACATATGCACAAAGACACAATACCCTGTACCACAATGTGGTGAAGGGTATAAAAAATCAGGGAGATCTAATTTTCTATTAGAAGATTTTCTGACTGCTTTTAAAAGACCCTTTGGTGATTTTCACACAACTTTGTTTTAAGAATATCGTTTGCTGTTGTGGAAGATCTGATTTTCTATAAGCTCATATTCTGGTCTTCTGCAATAAAACTTGATTGTCTTCTATTAGAATAACTTCGGACATAGTGGTTGTGTTTTGGTATTTTAGAGGATAATATTTCAATTAGAGAAATTTTATTTTGAAACTCTAATAATTTAAAGAGTTTTAGTCGCATTAAAAAACATATTTTTTCAAGAAAAATAAGGTCCCTACATAGGCGTGGATTTTTAAAAATGGTTTTTCAAGTTCCCAAAATAGGCTGGATTTTTAAAAATGGGTTTTCACGGTTCCGATATGGGCGTGGATTTAGAAAAAATTTAAGGTCCAATATAGGCGTGAATTTTTAAAAATGTTTTTTTCAAGGTTCCAATATAGGCGTGAATTTTTAAAAATGTTTTTTAAGGTTCCAATATAGGCGTGAATTTTTAAAAATGTTCTTTCAAGGTTCCAATAAAAGCGTAGATTTTTAAAAATATTTGTTTTAGAATCCTTTAATAATTTATTTTTAAGCTTCTCCTATATGTTGTGGTTGGTAATTGTGTATTGGCATACATTTGAACATAATGTTCGGGCATGTGGAATAAACACAAATAAGTGTTCAACATATATTAACTATATGTCATCAACATCTTTTAAAACTATCTCCTCTAACAACGTTTGCCTTAAAAGTAACTGAATTTAAAATCGGCCATATCTAGATGGTCATCCACCCATTAGCCATGGTCATTACATGGAAACAAGAAGTCAAGCATATGAAAATGAATAAAATAGTTGATAGATGAAAGCAATTCATTCATGTATTGTGGCATCCATCCATCCATCCATATGTATGTGGCCAGGCATCCTTCCAACCAACCATCCATCCATCTTTAATAAAATATCAATTTATTTTCATTGCACTCTGTTTTCAATTTTTCGGCTTTTCGTTCAATGGTTTTCCGTTTTCTTCAATTCCACTTCATCCCTTTTTCCAGGCTTGGTGTATTTCTCCTGTGGAACAGTGGTCGTATCTCAAATTTTAATGAAATTTCTTTTCTCACCTTCATGTGGAAAGCTATGAAATATTTGATGCATCATCTCCACCATCCATCCACCCGCATCGATGTAATAAAAACCTACGTAGGAAAAAAACATATTTACATACATTCACACTTTCCATGTGCATCGAAGCATTGAATATTCTCAATATGTTTTGTTGGGGGCGGGGAAGTAGAAGAACAGAACTGCAATGACATTCTCTTTGGTAAGAAGAGTTGTTATTGCATGTATGTGTTTGTGTGTAAAATCATACAGTGTCACTGTGGATGTGTGCGTGTGTATATTCTGTCAAGTTTTTATGAATTTTAAAGAATTTGGGATGTTGCGAACATATATATTTTTATGTAGATTTCAGTTACAAGGAATCACTATGACTACTGAAAATGATAACGAAAATTTGTTTAATGCGTGCACTCAAGCAAATATTAGGTGGATTTGGCACAACTAAGTGTGGCCTTCAGTGTTCTTGGTGGGAAGAAAACTTCACAGAAAATATCTAAAACTGATTTGTGCAAAAACATATTTTCAGAACAAATTCAATATAGGTCTTTGTTTTGATATAGGCTTTAATCTAGAACTGCCATATAATAGTCCCGCCTCATTTTCAGTATGGTGAAGGTCTCAGCCGTTTGCAAATTTTTTATTTTTTTTAAGGTGGTATAGTCCCCATATTTGTGCTCAGAGCGAATATAGGTATTTTGATTACGCATCTCATAGTAGTAAACACTTCATATTCAGAATTTTATTGGATCCACTGGATTCGTTTGTAACATTCCAATGTAATACATATATGTTTAAATAGTTGATTAAAATCCAGTTTTTATTTGAAAATCAGCTTAAAAAAATTCGCGATCCGGATCTGCCTCCCTCGAATAAATTTTATTTTCGTTTTTAGCATACTGATATATATCTAGGGTGACAGTTTTTCAATAATGTACACATTTATTATTATGAGGTTTTCTGAACTAGGATAAGGTTAAAGTGGATAAGTTAAAGTCCTTGAAAACATACGATTTTAAATGTTATGCGCGACATTTTTCTAGAATTTTTGGAGGTCAAAAATCTTTCCTTGCGATACTTAGTTAACGGTTCAAGAATATAAGGACGGAACAACTCCAGTTTAGAGCAGTATAGTCGGACGGGGCCGACCATACGATACCCTACACAACTACCACGGAACTCTAACTTTCTGCCGACGTTTATTCTGAGCTTGAGCAATATTTCGTGATAGTTGCACCCTCTTGCCCGATTAACGATCGACAGCACCTCTTCCTTACACTGACGTTTTTTCCGAATATTCCCAAAATTGATTACAGCCCTTCTAATTACTTGTCCAGATTCCCTTCACCTTGGATTGTGTTGTGATGTTCGGATTATAATTGTGGCCTATAGATCGTCTCGAAAAAAATAGAAAATTAAGTTTTCGGTCCACTTCATCCCAAAATTTTTATCTGATCATCACCAAAAATTATAGCCGATATCCCTGACCATACCATGATCCTCATTGAACATTTCAAAGCGACCAGCGCTATATTTCCGCACTCTACTGTGGTAATGGGTTACTAAATAATATATCAGTGCGTAAATATTTAAGTGTAACTCCCACATCTGAGTACATACGACCACATAATTAGTACTAATTTAAATGCCAACCACTCCTCTTGGATATGCTATCAACTTCTCGGGTCTTTGTTATTCAGGGTTAAATATATACGCTGTAGAATACAAATTTTGCCATTTTTCACACAAAAGTCAGGCTCCATTTGACATTTCATCCCCTTAATATTAACCGATCTTTTCC